TGCATTCTAGTCACAACTCAAAAATTTGGATTTACTTTTTCTTATATTCTTCTTAGTGAAATTGATGAGGACAATCAAAAAGAGCGAATCAACAGGGACACAGACAGCAATTAAAAACTTAACAGTGGTTCTAACTCCTTACCACTCTATCCAACTTTAAAAAAAAAAGTTTTGCCTTTAAGTCTTAATCGCAAACACAAGTCCATATTCAGTGAACACCTCCTGAGAAATTATTAGTAGATCCCAAACCGTAGAACCTTTAAAAAAAAAACCTTGACTTTTTCTGTGAAATTCAAGCTAGGCTCAACCCACTTCCACTGTCAAATCACCAAATTGGTTCTTTAGAGTAGATGGTCTTATTGACCAACAGGGAGAGTTGGAAGTGGGGGAAGAAGCGGTAATTTACAGGATACACCACCTGTAGCAAACTTGCTCATCAGAGATGGACGCGGAGATCCGCTTTTTTTATTAGAAGTATTCCTCAATCCTTTATTCTCCTTCCCCCTCCCTTCCTGAGAGGCACAGTGACACATGGTGGGCTGGTATGGGTCAACAGCAGGTTAAGGCATCCTTAGTTCAGTGCCGAGCAGTCTGTGAAAGTGTAGCCTTCCTCACCTAAGTCATGATAAGGCCAGTGTTCCTCAGAGAATTGGGAAGCACTGACCCAAAAACTTGTGTAGGCTCACACATCATAAAACAGATAAGGAAGCTTCTACCAGGAATTGAAAGAGATTGTAACCTCACAAAACCTAACAGTTAAAGGTGACAGAATGAAATGAACATTCCTCCCCTATGTTTCATGTCATGGATTATGACAGATGTTGGTTCTAAATCAGAGTTCGTCTGACTGACCCCTCCCAAAACAGCGTATTGGCCAGTATTCAGAGCCATTCCCCTCTGCAGGGGGACTTTAAAAGACAGGCTGGCAAGCCTAAAGAGTTAAGCTAAAGACATCTCCTAATTTTTAACATTGTAACAGCAGGAGATCAAAGACCCTTTCCGCTCTGCAACTTGGATCTGCTTACCTTAAGGCTTAACATGGCAAGTAACTTAACCTTTTAACTTCTTCCTGTTATCTCTGTGCTGAGCTGTTTTCTATATATATAAATATATATCTTAGTTACATCTTTTTCTGTAAATATTTTATTGCACCTGTTTGACTCTTTTAGTAATAAATCTTTCTTTCTGAAAGTGTTAAACTGTTTCTAAGCACTTACTTTCACAAATTCCTGCCTTTTGAAGAGACGCTACTGTGTTTGTTTAATCCTCTGCCCAATCAGCCTACGGTGACCGTATTGGACAGGCGACTTTTCAACCATTACAGTGTATATTTGATAAAGAGAGTTTCCCCTTTCTCTATACAAAAAGGGGTGGTGGCAGTGAAGGGTTAGTTGCGTAATTAACCCAACCCAGTAACAAGCGCATTCAGGCTGCCGGTGCGTTAATTGCATTCCATTAGCTGGACAATCGTTGTGCAGGGCGCAGCTGAGTGTGGCATTGTTACGCATGTCACATCGCGGTTTTAGATCGGTCGGTCCTTTGGTCACGAGTTTGGTGAGAAGGTTTGGGGTCTGACGCCGCAGGGTGACGTATTATTGTTGGTCACGGTCGTGCGATTGTCGCATGTTGAGGGTGGCGATCCGGCGACCGTGACACCACCATTACACATTTAGATAATACATAGAAAAACAATACCATGCTTTTTAGTATAAATAATGTATTAAAGTATACAAAGTAATTTATGAGGTAATATATCTCTTTTGCATTAAATATCCTGCCTGTTCACAATTTGTTTTCTAAAGTAAGCTGCTGCATAAATATACTAGAATACGCATTAGGCTAAATTCAGCTAAGCTGACACACCAGGATAAAGATAATTTATTTTTTTTTAAAGTTACAGTTATTTTCAGTTGCGTCCAATGGGATTTGAAAATTACAGTCATATAGATTGTAAGCTCGAAAGAGCAGGGCCCTCAATCCCCTCATGTTTTGCATTGTATTGGTATTGTTCTGTCACATGTTCTGTCCCCCTCTGTAATATACAGCGCTGAGCGAACTATTGGCGCTTTATAAATACTATATAATAATATAGATGAAAATAGAATTCCATAGGCTTCTTGAAAATCTTGTGAATTGAGCCTATTTATGTTTTAAGTTACAAGTACAAAATAGTGATGATATGAAGAGGAACTAATTGTATTGACATAAAGACTGAGTAACTAAGTGGCACAGGTCAGCTGGCAGAAGGAATCTCAGGAATGTCTCTCTGCTACCATTATACCTGATGCTAGTATAAGAGGATTACACCTCCAAAGAAACATGTATGCTAGAGAAAGGTATTTTTGTTTGTTCGGACTGTTTTGTCTCTTGGACTGCATACTGTGCATTTGTGTAAGCAATGTGAATAAGTGAACAGAATAATATAATTTCCTAGCAGGCTGTGTAGCATGGACATATAAGGTAAGGGTTTTGTACAGAATGCAATGGATAAGCATACAGTATATACAAAAGTTGTTTTTTATAAAAAGTAATTGTAAAATGGATACTTAATTCAACCTATAATATAACATTATAGAAGAATGAGTAAACCGAATTTGTATAGCATGAGAATACAAAACAGTGTATATGAGCATATGTAATAGTACATAATAGTGTATGAGTCCTTAAATGTGATGGCTGCATTTGTTTTATTTTTTTCAGGTTGAGTAACCTTCTGCAAGAACAGAAAAGTACTTATGATCCTAGTAACTTCCTATACATTGTCTTTTCCTGTCCTAGTATCTTTCTGTCCATTGAACATACATTTCAAATGATATAATACCAGCCTTCCCAGTTCTATTCTGTGAGCAACAGAACATATATTTCATTTTATATTTGACAGTCTAACCTTAACTGCTTTCATAAAAAATCATGCTGCTTAAGAGCTAAAAAGCTAAAGTTTAAAAATGTACACACCAGTGAATGAGTGAAAGAATTAAATGAGCCCCCCCCCCCCCCCCCCCCCCCCCCCCTCTATAAAGCTAAGTTTGCAGTTTCAGTTAGATACAGAGAGATACCAGAATGGTCTGCACAGCCACTGTCAAATGTGTTAAAAAAATAAATTGTATATAAAAACTGAAAACCTTACACAACAATGGTGGTTGAACCCAATGGGACATGCCCCGGAAAAAAGATTTGTTATAATTTTATCAGCTTAAATTTTAAATTGAAAATATTGTGAAATTTGATTTTCGAAAGATGTGCTGTGCTCCACCAAAATGTTGATCACAATACTAAAGCTGCCACCAGATAAGAGTTCTTATTGCCCCATTTCCTGTTCTAGTTTACCTGTTATACTCCCTTTATACGACACCCAGGCTCCATACTCTTTGTCTACAACAACCTGTGTGTGTATGTACAGTATGTGTATGCATTTATGTATGTGTATGTATGCATTGGCATTTGTACAGTAGACTTGTAGGATGGATGTCGTTGTTTATGAAAAATCCTCCGTTATGCCTTCTGCTTCTCTGTGTGCTTATGGTTAGCCATTTTTGCCTGGAAGACTTTTCTTGGAACCTAAATGGCTATGTAAAGAAAGCAATGAGTAATTTCTGTGCTGTTAGATAACTTTTTCAAAATATCAGCCTAGAATAGATTCTCAGTAGTTGGTTCTCTGTGGCCATCTGTACAGACTTGTGTCAAGCTTTCCGTGGAGATAGAAAAAAAAAAAGTATCTCGGAATGTTATTAATAGGGTGGGTACCGACTGGCTGGAATACACAGTAGGATTGATTCATAAAACTGGGAGAAAAGATTCCACGACACCCATGTTAACAAATCAGAATCCACAGGACCGTATGCCAATCTAGATTAAAAGAAGAATGCTAAAACTGATTGTCTTTTATCAGCGATACCTAGATGTTTACTTTTTACTAATAAGTGATGAAAAATTGAAGCAATTCTCTGGTCACATTTTTATAACATCAGCATTGTGATAGAACTAAAATAGTTATTTTTGACAATCCGATATAAGCTTACTTGAAAAATCTCCTTTCGTGTTGTGAGTGCTGCCTGTCTACTAGCCATCTCTTTGCACAACCTCCTGGATTCCCCGAATGCATTGTAGCTTCTCCTCTGCTGTTTATTTTAAATTTCTAAGGACTTCATATCCCATGGTACCTTGCTGTCTGAAAGCAATGTGTATATGTAAGTGTAACATGTTAATGTGTAGCGATCTTTCCAATGTAAATTTATAAAACTTCAACATATTAATAGGAGTAGGATAGAAAAATAAAATACAATGTGGAAAACAATCTCTACCCCTTTATTTGGTGCAAACAGAAAATCTCTTACCCTGGAGTACCTATTTCCTAACCCAGATAAAAAACAGATTCAAATTTATGCACCGTCTAACGACAACCCCTTATCTCTTAGATTGTAAATAGAGATGAGCGAATTATTCAAAAAACTCGATTCGACTGATTCGGCGAATTTGTGAAAAAATTTCGATTCGAGACGAATATATTCGCTGCGAATTTAACTTATAAAAGGGTGTTTCTAGGCTTCAGAGAGCCTTTATATTAGTGCAGAACACTGTACCTTTAATTTAAATGCCCTTGGAGTCTGCTGGGGAAGAGAAATAATACTGTCAGTCAGTATGACATGCAGATGAGTGCCGTCGATCTTAGAATCACCGCACACTTCACTCATTTGGGCAGTCACGGGGCCAAAACCAGAGTGTGGAGCCACAGTGTGGCGGTGGAGGCAGCAGCAATGGGAGGCCATACAGCACCCTATGACAAAAATGGAAACCACCAGCAGTGTGAGGAGACCTGAAAGTGGCACATGGCAGAGTGTGGCGATGGAGACAGCAGCAATGGGAGGCCGTACAGGGACCCATGACACACTCTGGACCTGGCAGCAGCATGAGGAGGCGGTACAGGGGCCCATGACAGATTACGGGCCTGGCAGCAGCATGAGGAGTTGGTACGGGGGCCCATGGCAGATTACGGGCCTGACAGCAGCAATGGGAGGCCGTACAGGGACCCATGACACACTCTGGACCTGGCAGCAGCATGAGGAGGTGGTACAGGGGCCCATGACAGATTACGGGCCTGGCAGCAGCATGAGGAGTCGGTACGGGGGCCCATGACAGACTCTGGACCTGGCAGCAGCATGAGGAGGCGGTACAGGGGCGCATGACAGATTACGAGAGCCTGGCAGCAGCAACTTGGACAGGAGGACGTTCAGCTTCTGCACCGTCGGGTGCGTGCTCGCAAACTGTTGTCTCTTGGAAACGGATTCCAAGAAAGACTGCTGACGGAATCCGTGAAGAGGAGTAGCAGGAGAAGGAGCATCTGAACGAGCAGAATATGCCAACAAGCGACAACAGGGGCCCATGACAGATTACGGGCCTGGCAGCAGCATGAGGAGTCGGTACGGGGGCCCATGGCAGATTACGGGCCTGGCAGCAGCAATGGGAGGCCCGTAATCTGCCAGCACCCTATGACAAAAAATGGAACACACCAGCAGTGTGTGAGGAGACCTGAAAGTGGCACATGGCAGAGTGTGGCGATGGAGACAGCAGCAATGGGAGGCCGTACAGGGACCCATGAGAGACTCTGGACCTGGCAGCAGCATGAGGAGGCGGTATAGGGGCCCATGGCAGATTAGGGGCCTGGCAGCAGCTATGGGAGGCCCGTAATCTGCCAGCACCCTATGACAAAAAATGGAACACACCAGCAGTGTGAGGAGACCTGAAAGTGGCACATGGCATGAGACACTGTGGACCTGGCAGCAGCATGAGGAGGCGGTATAGGGGCCCATGGCAGATTAGGGGCCTGGCAGCAGCTATGGGAGGCCCGTAATCTGCCAGCACCCTATGACAAAAAATGGAACACACCAGCAGTGTGAGGAGACCTGAAAGTGGCACATGGCAGAGTGTGGCGATGGAGACAGCAGCAATGGGAGGCCGTACAGGGACCCATGAGAGACTCTGGACCTGGCAGCAGCATGAGGAGGCGGTATAGGGGCCCATGGCAGATTAGGGGCCTGGCAGCAGCTATGGGAGGCCCGTAATCTGCCAGCACCCTATGACAAAAAATGTAACACACCAGCAGTGTGAGGAGACCTGAAAATGGCACATGGCAGAGTGTGGCGATGGAGACAGCAGCAATGGGAGGCCGTACAGGGACCCATGAGAGACTCTGGACTTGGCAGCAGCATGAGGAGGCGGTATAGGGGCCCATGGCAGATTAGGGGCCTGGCAGCAGCTATAGGAGGCCCGTAAACTGCCAGCACCCTATGACAAAAAATGGAACACACCAGCAGTGTGTGAGGAGACCTGAAAGTGGCACATGGCATGAGACACTGTGGACCTGGCAGCAGCATGAGGAGGCGGTACAGGGGCCCATGGCAGATTAGGGGCCTGGCAGCAGCTATGGAAGGCCCGTAATCTGCCAGCACCCTATGACAAAAAATGGAACACACCAGCAGTGTGAGGAGATCTGAAAGTGGCACATGGCAGAGTGTGGCGATGGAGACAGCAGCAATGGGAGGCCGTACAGGGACCCATGAGAGACTCTGGACTTGGCAGCAGCATGAGGAGGCGGTATAGGGGCCCATGGCAGATTAGGGGCCTGGCAGCAGCTATAGGGGCCCGTAATCTGCCAGCACCCTATGACAAAAAATGGAACACACCAGCAGTGTGAGGAGACCTGAAAGTGGCACATAGCATGAGACACTGTGGACCTGGCAGCAGCATGAGGAGGCGGTACAGGGGCCCATGGCAGATTAGGGGCCTGGCAGCAGCTATGGGAGGCCCGTAATCTGCCAGCACCCTATGACAAAAAATGGAACACACCAGCAGTGTGAGGAGACCTGAAAGTGGCACATGGCAGAGTGTGGCGATGGAGACAGCAGCAATGGGAGGCCGTAAAGGGACCCATGAGAGACTCTGGACCTGGCAGCAGCATTAGGAGGTGGTATAGGGGCCCATGGCAGATTAGGGGCCTGGCAGCAGCTATGGGAGGCCCGTAATCTGCCAGCACCCTATGACAAAAAATGTAACACACCAGCAGTTTGAGGAGACCTGAAAGTGGCACATGGCAGAGTGTGGCGATGGATACAGCAGCAATGGGAGGCCGTACAGGGACCCATGAGAGACTCTGGACCTGGCAGCAGCATGAGGAGGCAGTATAGGGGCCCATGGCAGATTAGGGGCCTGGCAGCAGCTATGGGAGGCCCGTAATCTGCCAGCACCCTATGACAAAAAATGGAACACACCAGCAGTGTTAGGAGACCTGAAAGTGGCACATGGCATGAGACACTGTGGACCTGGCAGCAGCATGAGGAGGCGGTACAGGGGCCCATGGCAGATTAGGGGCCTGGCAGCAGCTATGGGAGGCCCGTAATCTGCCAGCACCCTATGACAAAAAATGGAACACACCAGCAGTGTGAGGAGACCTGAAAGTGGCACATGGCAGAGTGTGGCGATGGAGACAGCAGCAATGGGAGGCCGTACAGGGACCCATGAGAGACTCTGCACCTGGCAGCAGCATGAGGAGGCGGTATAGGGGCCCATGGCAGATTAGGGGCCTGGCAGCAGCTATGGGAGGCCCGTAATCTGCCAGCACCCTATGACAAAAAATGTAACACACCAGCAGTGTGAGGAGACCTGAAAGTGGCACATGTTTGGGGCATGATTCATGGCGGATTTAGTCAGTTGTGTCAGGAACTGGTGGTTTGAAATCCAGACTAATCCACGCCTGATTCATTTTCACAAACGTGAGTCTCTCCACACTTTGGGTGGACAGTCGTGTCCTCCGCGGAGTTACAATACCTCCTGCCGCACTAAACACGCGCTCCGATGCCACGCTACTGGCCGGGCATGACAGCCTTTCAAGGGCAAATTCAGCTAGTTGGGGCCAAAGGTCAAGTTTCGTTGCCCAGTAGTCAAGGGGATTGTCTACCTCGGTTGGCAGGGTGCTGTCCAAGTAGGCCCAAGCCTGTTGTTTGAGGTCCTGCTCCAGGTCCACCTGATGCTGCTGCTGCTGCTGCTGCTGCTGGTTAGTAGTTTCCTCACTGCGCTGGTGAAGAAAGCTACTCATCATCGACTGCAGACTGAGGCAGCCGCTGCTGGTGGAGCTGCCACTGCTCCTACCACCCCACCCCTCCCCTGCTGCCATGGCAGCGGAACGCGAGCGCACAGGGCCCACAGTGTCTGAGGATGGACGTTGGCGCAGAAAGGCAGAGACCAACTGACTACATAGGTGGTTTTTATAGTACGTTATTTTGGCCTCCCTCTCAGCAGGTGTGAAAAAGGCCACCATTTTTGAACGGTAGCGAGGGTCCAACAAGGTGGACAGCCAAAAGTCATCCCTCTGTCTGATGGTTATTATTCGGCTGTCGCTACGCAAGCAAGCGAGCATGCTATGGGCCATTTGTGCCAAGGAATGCGAGGGACTCCCTGCCTCCATCTCCACAGCATACTGCCACGGTGCGTCTGGGTCCTCTGTCTCCTCCTCCTCCTCCTCTACCAGATGCTCCTGCTCCTCCACTCCTGTCCGCTGAGTGGAAAAACCACCCATTTCACTCAATAATTCCTGAGCACAAATGTCCTCCTCTACCTCCTCCTCTTCTTCCTGTCCTGCCCCCACAGGGGTCATGTGGCGTTGAGATCTGTGCGCCACGTCTACCGCACCCTGACCAGCCATTGTTAACAGCATTTGTTCCAGGACGTGCAACAGAGGAATGACGTCGTTCATCCCATAGTCCTGCCGACTCACGAATAGCGTGGCCTCCTCAAAGGGCCTGAGCAAGCGGCAGGTGTCACGCATGAGCTGCCAATGGCTGACATCGAAGTTACACAGGGGAGTACCTTTATCCGCTTGTAACATCAGGAAATCGGTGATGGCCTTTCGCTGTTCGTAAAGGCGGTCTAACATGTGTAGGGTTGAATTCCACCTTGTTGCAACGTCGCAGATCAGGCGATGCTGTGGAATTCCGTTCTGCCGCTGCAGCTCAAGGAGGGTGTGCTTTGCGGTGTAGGAATGGCTGAAATGCATGCAAAGTTTACGTGACATTTTAAGGATGTCTTGCAGTGGGATGGTGGATTTTAGGAACCGCTTGACAACCAGATTGAACACGTGAGCCATGCATGGCGCATGGCACAACCTTCCTTGACGCAGAGCAGACACCATGTTCTTTCCGTTGTCGGTCAACATGGTTCCGATTTTCAGTTTGCGCGGAGACAGCCATCTGTCGATTTCTCTGTTCATTACACTGAGAAGTTCCTCCCCTGTGTGACTACGTTCGCCAAGGCATACCAGGTGCAGCACAGCGTGACACCGTTGCGCCCTGCACATGTGATATGCCGGTCGGGTAATGGGACTTGGCACGGGGGTGGCGGCTGAGGACACGGCGGAAGAAGAGGTGGTAGAGGCGGACATCTTTGCCGACCAAGGACGTGCAAACGTGGAGGCAAAAGCGGCGTGACCTGTCCAAGTTGCTGGTGCGGCTGTGACGGCACCACGTTCACCCAGTGGGCCGTAAATGACATGTACTGTCCCTGACCGTAGTTACAGCTCCACACGTCGGCGCTGCCGTGCACTTTGGCAGAGACCGACATGCTCAAAGACTGGCCCACCATCTCTTCTACATGTGAATGCAGGGCTGGCACTGCCTTTTTGGCGAAGAAATGACGGCTTGGCACTCTCCACCGCGGCGCGGCACAAGCCATCATTTCTCGGAAAGGTGCTGAGTCCACCACTTGGAAAGGGAGGGACTGCAGCACCAGCAACTTGGACAGGAGGACGTTCAGCTTTTGCACCGTCGGGTGCGTGCTCGCAAACTGTTGTCTCTTGGAAACGGATTCCAAGAAAGACTGCTGACGGAATCCGTGAAGAGGAGTAGCAGGAGAAGGAGCATCTGAACGAGCGGAAGATGCCAACGAGCGACAACTCCCCTCAGCAGAGGTGTTGGAGCCTTGACTGGCTGATAGAGGGCGATTGACGTCGGGTGACGGAGCAAGTAACGGAGCGGGTGATGGAGCGGGGGCTGGGGCAGGCAGAACCGCCG